TTTAAACATTATTTTGAGGAGAGATCTATAGGCTTTACGAAAAAGGCAAAGAAATCCGTGACATCAAAAAAGTTAAGAATTTCTGTTCTACCCTTATATAGGTTGGTTTTCATATAACAGATGCACATTTATTTCTGGGCCTATACTCAAAAGTTGTCTAGATTGGCAGTACCTGCCAAACCTTTTAATCTGCTGGCATAGCATTTAGAAAGTTTAAGATGGCCTCCAAGCCATTATGAGGCATCAGAACAGAACTTTGGTGGAAGAAGCCGATCCTGTTCAAACAAGTAAATACAAAATAATACAAAATAGAATGTAATAAATGCATATTTAGATATTTTGAGTGAATCATAATTTCATTCATATGAACACTGCCTTCTTCAAAACAGATCACAACTCCTCAAACTGATCACTCTATATCATTCTTGTCCATATTTTGTAATAAATCCCCTGGAAAGGATCTACTCAGCGAGACACAAACCTTCTTTCACTTGCTATTTTTGAGGGCACTACTTATAACTTCAGTGAAATCTATCCTTTCATTTAGAAGACATTCATTCAATGTTGTTTTTGTTCAGTCATGTCAAACTCTTCATGACCCCATGGACTTTTTCATGGGATTTTCTTGGCAAATATACTGGAGTGGTTTGCCATTTTCTTCTCTAGTGTGTCCCCATTTTACAGATGAGGAACTGAGACAAATAGGGGTTAAGTGACCTGCCCAGGTTACACAGCTAGTAAGTGTCTAAGGCAGGATTTGAACTCAGATTTTTCTAACTCCAGGCCCAGCATGGTGCTCTATCCACTGTACCACCTACCTGACCCCTTACCCACTAGGGGTCTGCATCTATTTTCTTAGGTTCTCACTATATCAATAGATCATTTTGTTTTCTAGTTATACAGTTCCTCAATTATGCCCTTTACTTCTTGCACACATCATCACATAATATGCTGTACCCTATTCATATCCATCATGTAGCTTTTAAATATATATATATATATACACTCAATAACCATCAAAAAATACACATATTCAAATACACAAAGACTTCAATGCATCTGTGATCTTATTAATATGAGGTACTGCCACCAGTGGTGGAAGATTACAACCCATATACCTTCTGATGCAGTGCAAGTCTTACCTATATCCTCCTCCTTCCCTGGGTCATCCATCCAATATGGTGGGGAGCTTCCCCTAGATATCTTGACTTTACTTGGGTACTACTGTAAAAGAATGGTTGTGTATTTCTTATCTCTTGTTGTCTCCGTAGAACCAGACCACATCCTTTTCCAGTAACATACCTTTCGTGATATGTTTCGTAATGTAATGTAATTGTATACAATTCATAATTGAAAACCTTCTGTAGTCTATTTATACCTACCATTTTGTCTCTCAATGTCTTTTGGGTGATCTACAATTTTGACTCCTCAGAGATGGTGGTATTCCATGATCTGTAGTCACAGTACATCAGTAGAAGAATATTGGCGTCAAAAATCAAGTCCTATTTAAACTCTCCAATTCAATCCACCTTGCTGTCTTGCTTGTTTACTTCTGGTCCATGTTTATTGTCCATCAGCAGCTTCTGTCTAAGATCTATCCAAGGACCACCTCCATGGGACATGCATCCAATTATCTATTGCCATTGGATAATAGGAATTCTTTATGTACTTGACTTTTCCTGTGTGGATAGGTAGGTCAAACTATTTTGAGTGATTATGAATTTCATTTAGAAGTCACTACAAGGTTCCAGGGCTTTGTGTAGTGAACACAATGCCATCCACAAGTAGGAAATTCTGAAAGATTTTAATATCTACAAGGAATCCTAGGTGATCCAATGGGCAAAGCACAGGACTTGGAGTTAGGAAGAACCAAGTTTGAATCCTCTTTCAGACAGTTACTATCTATAACATCCTGGAGCAATCACTGAATCTCTCTCTGCCTCAGTTTTCTCATCTGTAAAATGGGGACAATAATAGCACCTACCTCCCACAGTTGTTATGAGGATCAAATTGGTTAACATATGTTAATCATTTTGCAAACCTTGAAACATGTTATAAATGCTGACTAATATTATTATTAACACCTTCCATGACAATAATAACTCCAGCAAGCATGTTTATCCCTATTTTTTGCCTTTCTTATTAAAAATCAGTCGCTGAAAAAAATTATATGTTAATAGGGAGAGGTGATAGAGTCTACACCTGTAATTTCATTGGTATAGGGAACTCCAAAGTAAAGAGACACTGCAAATGCAGGTGAACTTCATCACTTGCATCACTTATAGCTTTAGAGAGCTGCATGGAGCAACAAGAGGGTAAGTGACTTACCCAGGATCATACAGATGTTTAAAAGTTGGGATTTGAACACCACTTCCTAACTTCAGATCATTCTCTATCCAGTATGCTACCTCTCATTTGATACTCCTGCCATCCCTTTGTTAATAGTGGACATCCCATAAAGTACTTTGGCTGCTTCCAGGCAGCCTATGGGTGTTACTTTGGTATTGAAGGACCTGATACTTTGGGAGAACACAGAATCCCTTGGTCCTTTTGTTAGCAGCAGGGGAAGTGACTCCTTCAGAGAACATTGGTCATTAAGTCAGAAAGAGCCACCTATTTACAGGGAATGACCCTGCCCTTTGGATGGCTTTTTCTACCCATATTCTGAGTATGTCAGGATGCTTGAGCTTTTCTCTGTACTTTGCATGAGGTGGTGGGGGAGGGTGACTTTCTTATACCCTGGCAGAAATGGTGACCTGCTCACACATGGTTGCCAGGACATATGCTGATCTGGGTGGCTTGACACCAGATCTCACAATCCTAGCTGCCTTTTCTGCTTTGTGTTTCTTTCCTGAACACATGTAACCAAATGATGATCCTGAATAGGGACATTTCCAGTATCCATTAATGGATATAGGAATGCTGAAAGCAGAGCACAAAAAGAACATTTGAGACTCAAATATCTTTGAAAAATCAGATTTTATTCTCTGACAAATAAATTGACCTTGATATAAGACAAAAATTCAGAAATGGTAAAATAAATCTTTTTTTTTTTAAAAATTCAAGCACAACTGGAAATCTAATCACATGCCTGTCTCAAATGATATGGTCAACACTATGCTCTCTAATTCCAGCTCAATAATTAACAAGCTTGCTTTCATGTTAAACATCTTCCTTTTGCATGCCTTCCATCTTTTGGCATTCATTGAGACCTGGTTCCCTCCTGATGACACAGTACCCCTGGCCACTCTTTCTAGCACTGTTTTCAGTTGCACTCATACTCCCCCTTACACCCACTCACAGGTCACTGGAAAGTAAGTATATTTCTTGTTCCCCACTGCCAATTCTAGACTCTCCTTCTACCACTATCATCCAGCAACCTAACATTCTTTGAAATCTATTCTATTTAAATTTATCATCCAATCCAGATCCTCCTGGCCCTTTTCTGTATACCTCCTAGCACATTGTCCTTCCTTCTTCAATGGGTCTAGTGATTGGCTCAGTCTTTCTTTCCAAGACAACACATTGATGCTCCCTTAAAGTATTGCAACATCCCAATTCACAAATCTACTCATTTTCTGTGACCTAATCCTTTTCATCCAAATTCAGAGATGGTTATCTCCAATATTTATATAGCTCTCTTGCCTTACAGAGTGCTTTACATAATCCTTTTTGATTCTCACAACAATCTTATAAAATAGTGTGAATTTTATCCTAATTTTACAAATGAGGGAATTGAAATTCAGAGGTTAAATAACTTGCCAGAGGGCACATAAGCAACTAGTGCCAGAGCCAGAATTTGAGTGCAAGTCTTCTGATTCCAAATCCAGTGCTATTTCTACTACACTTCCCCTGAAATATTTGAATCATAACTGTTTTGTGGTTATCAAATAGTAGCAACAGTAACAATATAGCTATCATTTACATAGCACTGAAAGGGATGCAAAGCACTTTACAAATATCATCTCATTTTATTCTTACAACAACCTTGGATTATCCTCATTTGACAGATGATGAATTTGAGGCAGAAAGAAATTAATAGGGTCACACAGCTAGTAGTTCAGTTTTGCTATAGCGAAATTCTTCCACTGTTATTGATACCTTAGAGAATAATTTGAGCAGAGTTAGATCTTCATGTTTGCTTATGCACAATTTTGTCCACAAGAAACATCAAAACTGCTGAAAACTGCACCACTTCACAATAACTCACAAGCTGTAGCCCTTTCAATGTCCAATTCTATAAGCAAATTTCAGATCTTTTCCAAGGTAAAATCCATATTCATTATAAATCTGGTGCAGTAGGAGCTGTGGGCAGAGGAGGGCTGGTCAAAACCACATACTCTACCCCCACACCTATGGCTGTAGATTTTGTTAGCTTGAGGCTCTATATACTGCCATCATTTATTGTAGGATTTATATATTTCTTAACCATTTAACATATAGGTGCTTAAAACTGTACTATCATTTTTATTAAGCTCCTATCTTTTCTTATTTCATTGGCAAGGTTTTTGGGTGTTGGGACCCTAGCTTCATTTTCACCAAAAGCCCTGTATTTATTGTATGGTTTTGCATAGCTGAATGATTTTTAGGAAGCAGATGTCCAGGTATAGCAGAATTGATTATAAATATTTAAGGCTAGATTTGAATTTGGGTCTTCCTGTAAGCAGCCTTAGTATTCTGTCCTTGTGCCATCTCACAGCTGACAATCCACAACATATGGAATTCTAAAAGAATATACTAGGGGAAAAAAAAAGATATGAGAGAAAAATAAGAGTGGCATCCTTTCACAACACTATTTTGAGATAACACCGCTATCATTTGGCCTCTAGGACAATCAGGCCATTGCAGACAACTTCTATTTGTAGTTACCATGTTTGGGGATGACATGGTTTTATTCATAGCATTAGCAATAAGCTGTTATAATAAGACTTTATTGTATATATACACAGCCATGAAAAGATTTGGATCCCAAAGAAGAATAGTGATATTTAAGTCACAAGTTAGAGTTAAAAACAGGCTTTATTTTGAATTACATTTGCACATATTATTCTTCCAAGATTTTAGAACAAAACAATCATTATTCATCTAGAAATCCAGAACGAAGTGAATGCCTTTTTTCATTCAATTTTTAAATTCTGTTTTTTAAAAATCCAATACTAATGTATGCTTCAGGAGTGGTGTGATTGTTCAAGAATGAGAACCAAAGTTTCAAGGTTTTATGCTTTGCCAGACTAAGACAAATCATTACCTTGGAATAAGTTATTTCATGTTTTGCTTTCTCTAAAATAGGTCTTATCTGATTTTGAATAGATCCTGGCCTTCTAAAGTAAAGTATATCATTATATTCTTTTTAAAAATTCATCTAAATTAAGACATCATAAGGAGGAATACAAAAATATAGTTGCTTAAAATCTCTTTTTTTTAGGGCACAGGGGCAACTTTGAATGAAAGGTTCATAAATGCAACCCATACCAGCGGAGGTCATAACCCAAAGGCTTGTTGTCAGATCTGGAACAATAGGGTTTTGGTATTATTCGATTGTCAAAAGTTATTTTATAAGGTATTTCTAAGAAATTTATTGGAGGCAATATTTCTTTCCACTGTAAGTAGATATTTCTCCTGTGCCATCCCTGTGAATACATACTTTTATTTATAATAAGGAAAAAGTTATTTCCTTGGCTTCAGTAGTCTGTGTCATTAATGTGTGATGATTTGTGAAACAATTAAAATCCTCCCAAACTAGAGAATTTTTCAGAATACATTGTTGGTAGCTCTCTTATCACACACATCAAAATTTCATCTGTCAGGCTACAAAAGATATAATTTTAAAACATTTGAAACATTTAGAATATTTTTACATTTTTGTTGAGTTAAGATTATCTTTCTTATAGAATTATTATCATTTTTTTTTTTTTTACAAATTTGTGTGCATACAATTTTCACTCTGTGTGGAAGCACCCAGACCAACCCTTTGGAGGGGTAGTTTCCTGTACAAAACCTTAAAAATTTTTTGGTTAGGAGGACTGGTATTGTCTAACATAGCAAAGAATCAACTTTGGAATATATAACAATTATCTCCAAGTATTTAAAGTGCTGTCATAGAGAAGAAGGGTTAGATTTATTCAGCATTGCCTCAGAAAGGAGAGATAGGAAAAAATGGGAGGAGAAAATGGATCTATTTGGAATTCTTTGATAGCCACATGGTACACTTGAAAAATAAACAAGATGGCATAAATTCAACAGCCATTGTGTACTAATCAATAAGTCACTCCCCTTCCTACCCCCTGCAAAACAATAAAAATTGAGTGCCTACTCTATATTACCAATATACTACCAAATTGTGAAAAAGACAAACAAGTTCTGGCCACATATTTATAATCCTAAAAGAAATTCAACAGTTGAAAGGCAAGGACCTTAAAAATTATATAGTTTGACATTCTAAATTGGCAGATAAGAAAATGAAGTATCAGGGAGGTTAAAGGTCCTCCCTTTATAAAGGTAAGTTTATATAGGCAAGAGGACCATGGGTAGATATGAGGAATCCTGACCTTTTCCACAATATTAAATGTGGAATGATCCTACTTTTAGAAGCCATAAAAAAGTTTGCAATTTTTCATGTCCATTTACACATTTGTTTTCCTTAATTGAAGCTAAATATATAGTCCTTGGTTTTGGCTCTGGCTTGCCTTTGAAGTATGACTAAATAAGGGACATCTTTCTAGCAGTGTGTTTGTCTGTACTCCCCCTGCTGGCAAAGAAAAATTCTTACCGGTAAAGGTGTTGAATATAGTTTTAAAGCCTTTCTAACAGATTTGGAATAAAAATAGGAATGTTCATAGACCATTATTCATAACATTATGGTTATATTTAGACAAAGTTCAGGTCCATGTTACCTCTCAGATAACATCACTTTAAATAACGAACAGAATCAACTTATTTGTATGTCGAAAATCAGCTAAGAGCTAGGTTTCAAAGAATCTTTCATATCATTTATCTTAGATGACTGTACAAAAATACACAAATTATAACTTAAACTCTCTAGCAAATAATTAATATGCATTCCAAATTAGCAAGTATAGACAAGACATTCTGCAAATTTAAAGTACAAAACGTACTATGAACATAATTTAATTTTAGCAGACTTTTAGAAGAGTTTTTAAAGTGGAGGAATTGCCTTCTCGGATGCCAATTTATATTTGTTTTCTTGATTTAGATCATAAGTGAATGTCATGGGTGTCCTTCTCATGACATGTTTCCCATTTTATGCTCCTTTACCAAATGTGTTGTCACTTAAGTCCAGCAACTTCTTATCAGAGAACCGTATGTATCCTTAAAAGTACTGAGCAGGTAGCCCCTAAAAAAGCTCCTTCATGACTGTGGTAGAAGAAGCATGTACATAGCCTTATCAATGAACCCCTCTGGGATGTTTGTTCAGTATAAACTTAACTAAAAAGGGTCTCCGATTTCCAGTTCTTTATGTTGATAATTGTAATTTAGTAACAAATGAGTGATAGCAAAGTATATTTTGTTCATTATCTGCTGTTACACCTTAATAATATGAAAACTAAAACTGAAAATGCAGATTAGGATCTAATGGAGACAGCTACTAAAGTGGAGAGCTACTAGTCATTGTCGTAGATGCAACCTGAAAAAAAAAAGATATAAAATGTAATTAGAAGCCTAGAAGGGCACATACATATTCTTAAGTTTTCCAAGGCTGAAGAATGTCTTTTATAATTGCATCCTACCATGTACACTGACATGTTGGCGATAAGAGCTGACTGAATGAATGTATGAAGGATCACTTTAGCAGAGAGAAATGTTGAACTCACTATCTGAGGTACATTTTGAATGCACAAAATAAAGTTAATTTGTTCTCTAAGTAAGAGCAGGGATCTTGATTTGTACTGGATTTAACTTACACTAGTCTTTTATTTTCTTTATGTTATACATGGCTTATCATATGGACATTAATATTTACCATGTTAAATTAAAAATGCATACATAAATAAAATAACACAGGAATCAAAACATGAGATGGATATTATCATCTCTTGGATATAATTCATACTTTAAAAAATTGGCTAGATCTCTCTGTATGGGAGCCAAGTAAACATAAGTTCCGTAAGTAGAAGAAATACAGCTTAAAGAATAAAAGAACATTTAAAATAAAAAACATAGTTATTAAAACTAGAGAGACAAGTGATAACTAGTTGGGGAATGAATCTGAAAATGATGTATAAGTTTACGCATGAAAATTTTAAATACAGTGGAAGTGGTCATTTAAAATTCTTTAATGAGATAAGGAATAGTGGGAGGGAAAGAAGCAAAATTATGTTTTAGGTTATAGAGAAGCAAAATTTCTTAGTAGAATGAATGAAGTGTAGAAACTTTCTTGGGTAAAATTTCCATCTTTTGGAACAAACTCAGGCAAAATTTTATATAATTTATCATAGGAAACAATTGTGTGTGATCTAAGAAACACAAATGGCAACACGTTTACTTTTATCCTATCACTTGTCTTCTACATCTATTTCTGTTTCTATTCTATGGGGATTTCTATAGTGTTTCTTTTTTTCAAAAATAGAAAAGCAGATATTGTATCATAAGGTCTCTTGTTTAAAAAAAATAACCTTTTCTTACAGTTCTAGGTCCTTATTTCTCTGACCACTTAATAATTCTAGGGCTGTGTTTATTACAGAAAGACATTTGTGGAGGTAATTGTTGAGCCCAATCAGCAGTAATCTTAAGAATGTAAGGGGTAAGAAGACTAGAAAGGTATGTATGGGGAGGATAAGGCAGAGTGGGGATGGGGAGATAGGTTAAAGGTTATGAAGGGCTTTGAATACCAAATTCAATTTGTTTATATTTGGTCAAGAAGCAGAGCTTCAGTTCAGGTTCGTCAAATTATTTAAGGAAGCAGCTGAGAATAAAACTATGGCCCCAGATGAATCAAGCTTGTGTCTGTGTATATTTCTGAGATTCTTCCTTTCTCTGAACCATATCTACACAGGCTGAATGAGTAGTTGGGAACTTTAAGTGGAAACAAGGGTAGACTTTACCTAAATTCATAGCTGGAATAACCAATTTCAAGTAAAAGTTAAAGAAAAAAAGGTTTTAGTAGGAGAATAGATTACTGTTCAAATGAGGATTAAGAACCAAATAACAAACAAGGGCAATAAATAAAGACAGTAGGGAAAAAAACAGAATATCTTCATAATGTGTAGTAGTTTAAAAAAAAGTTAGTTTTGGAGTCAGAGGACCTGTATTCAAATCCTGACTCTGCTATTTATAACCCATATGAATTTAAAAGTAACTTAAACCCTCTCAGGGATCATATTATTTATTTCTAAAATAAGGGGATGGGCCAGAAGATCTCTAAAGGTCCCTTCTAGTTCTAAATCCATGATGTTATGTATGCAAAAAAATTCTCATATGGCAAGCCAGGAATGTAGAATTTCCAGGGACGGCTGGTCACTATTGTTAGATAACGTCTCAAAGGCAAAAACATAAAAGTTGCAGGCAGGATATCTTACAAGCTACAAAACAAATACTCACATGTACTCTCAGTTTGTTTGACAGGTAGAGAGCATTAAGGCATAAAAAAGAGTTAATAGCAAAAATTGAGGCAAAATGTGTTTACAACATAGGAATTTTTAGCATGTAAGCTTCATTATGTATTGGGAACACTTTTTTAATGCTCAGAATATTAAGGATGATCAATAATTGTTGATTTTTTATTAAAAGCTAATGATTTAGACTAAGTTGCTAATTGTTCTCTCCTGTGTATGGATACTACTCTACTGACTTTAGCATAAACAAATGTGCATAGACACAAATATACATAAACAAATGTTGTATATTTTTAAAAAAATGACATACCATCAGCAATATCATCATAGATCTCTCCTTCACTGTAAATACAGAAAAATTTTTTTATTTTAAAGAGTCTTTTCTGTATACAATAGACAATTAATATGAGAAAAGAAGGTAACATGATATGACATAACAATGCATTTGAAAATTATATTTCATTCATTTCTATGAAACAGACATTCTGATACTTAAAAGTATCTACATTTTAATTTGGTTTTTCTCTTCTAATTTTTCTTTTATCTAATCCACATTTTTATATTAATAAATTCCACAATATTAATTATTTACAATTATTCATTAAAATCAACCAAGCAACAAACATTTATTTAGCACCTACTTTCTGCCTAACTGTGCTAGTCACCATGATTCCAAAGCTCTTTACACTCATGAAAATCACTCTTATGACTTCACTTAGACTTTTAGTATTGAATAAAATGCATTTATATTTGATGTGGAAAATTCAACGATTATTTTCTACTTTTTAAAATGGAAATTAACAAAGTTAAGAGCTAAAATGTGGTTATTGTAAAGATATAAAAGTATATGAATGTACACTTATGTAATTCTAAAAAGTGATTGTTTATTTATACATTAGGGTCACGATAACTCACAAAGATCACCAATTAAAGTGTGGAGGGCTTGAAATCTGCCTTAGCAGAGGAATTACCCAGTTGGATGAATTCCAATTTTTTTTTAGATATTTAAGTGTATTTGATACATCCATGAAATGATTTTGGATACTTTTACAAATCTATATACAAGATTTCTATTTCCATAATTTTTTTTAATCATTGACTGATTTAATACATTTTTTTTGTGCTAAGCATTGTGGGGCATATATGAGACCCAGTCCCTATCCTCAAAGACCTGGAATTATAATGAGAATTGTGATAAATAACTTTAAGTTATTATTACTTATTATAGTTTGAAACTTGTAACAATGGTTACAAGTTCAGCATTTAGAAATTTAAAGTATTTTCAGCAGAAAGTCTTCTTGCCTAGATCAAGCAAAGCTACAGTACTTACATGAACCTCTGTGCCCTACTCATGAAGGCAGCCTTTAGTGCTGTTTCTGACTTACAGGGGTTGTTCGCTTTGACTTAACTCTAGAGACCAGGTGATTTGCCACTGTGAGTCTTTCAAGACTTCTTAATAGCACTAATTAGCTTGGTCCTGTCAGATCTTAGGTTGTTGACCTGCACCTGTACTTCACTTTTGAAATCCTGTTGCATGCTTCTGTTGTTTTGAATTCTGTGATTCTGAATACTCAGCTACTGGCTCCAGTCCCTAGCTCCCTTCAAAGCTTAGCTCAGTTGTTCCTACAGGAAGTCTATTCTGATCTCCTCAGTTGTTAATGCCCTCCTTCAAAATTACTTCCCACGTATTTTTTGTATTTACTTGTCTATGT